GATGCTGAACCATTTCTTCCACTAAATTAATACTCTCATAGACGGGTGCATAATCTTAAAAATTTTAGGGAACAAGGCAGATTATCAATAAAAAATATTCAAAATATAGGATAGTTTTAAATTTTTATGGAAGGCGACTATCCCACCCACTCTCCCTTGATCCATCCCAGGATTCACCCCTATACCCTTATCCTCAACTCGATAACTTTAATCCAAAACTATGGGAGACATAGTATAATAACGTGTGTACACAAGGAAAAGAAAAGGAAAAAGAGTGATCTCTAGACTCATTACCAGATCATGCTGGCAGCTTCAACCTCTCAAACCAACAAATGAAGAATTTTCATTTGCCTTTGCTAGGAAAGATAGAAGAAGAAGAAGAAGAATATATATATATATATATATATATATATATATATATATATATATTCCCCTTTTCCATAAACCTAAAGATTTAGCGAAGGTGCAGAGACATGCATATTTTTTTAAGGTACCAAATCACTGGTGATTCCATCAACGATCTATATATATAATTTAATGCACCTCTCTCTCCCCTTTCTTTTGGTACCGTGTCACAGACGAGTGTCCAATGGAGGTTTTTTTGGTCCTTCCTTACAGCTATTGACACTGACTTCTTGCCCCTTAATATTCAGTAGCATACATATAAATTAATTATATGAAAAGGATCGGTTGAACCTTTTATATTATTATTATATCAAAATGCGCGATTATCATTGTTAATTTTTTATATAAACTCAATGATAATCAAATTTACAAAATAATATAATAATTTGATGGCCAAAATTAAAAAAATAATAATAATTGAGTACTAATAGTGTATTTTACGTTATTTTCTTTTTAAAAGTAATTAGGATTAGCAATGAGTAAATTCGATTCAACTAAAAAAAAAGCAAATTTTTTACTCATTTCGACTTGAATTATAAAATTGAACTCGAATAATTTGGAATTTTTAGTATTGAGTGGATTGATTTTTAAGTTTGAGTTTGAATCCCTCAAGATATATGTATATCACCTATGAAAAATATAAAGAATATATATATGATTATAGAAAACCATTTAAATTGAGATCAAATAGTACCATAATATTATAAATATTTACAATTAAATTTAAATATAAACTTCAGCAACTTGAATTTCATAAATTCGACTTGATTCGAAAAAATCTAAATTATACTTTAAAAAAATAAGAATCGTCAATTTGACTAACTCTAAAATTTTTTACTCGACTCGATCTAATATTCACCCTAATTAGGATAATACATGTTAAGCTATGATTCGTGCAAAGAAGAGTAGTCAGAGCATTTCTTTTATTTTAGAAGCAAGGGGCAGAAGGGTAGAAAGCTGGACATTGATGGTCCAAAACAAGCATGCATGCTTGGTTTGTCGACAAGTAAGATGTCGTTTACCCTAAGCAAAGGGAGCAGTTAATATCAATAAAGATGTCACTAAAACCGAAAGATGAATCTTTTAATTACTGTGTTTAATTTTCTTTTTCTGTAACAGAAAACTAGGCCGAGTGCCATGTGGTTAGTGAGCTTTTGGTCCCTTTCAATGAATTATATTATATCGTAATTATTAAGATATGAAGGCAATTCATTGGCCAGGTTGGAGGAATCCATTTGTCTTTAGCTTTGGGTGGTTTCTTATGGTTGACAAACAAAGACATACAGACAAAACCCTAACGGGAGGGAAGGACCACACCTTTTCAACAGTTTTGATTATAGATAGGGTCACATGGTTTTGCTTTCTAAATTAGCCACAACTGTTGGATCTAATTCATTTTATTGCGGTTGTTGTAAATAAAGCAATATACATGGGAATAAGATCCAATTACACAGCACAAAACTTTTTAATTTTATATATATTGAATTTTGTTGGATGAATGAATGTGTATAAATGAGAATATATTAACCGGAAAAAAAAAACAATGAGATAATCTCAACTATCTATTTTGAGTCATCTAACAATAATAAATGTGTATAAATCTAAAAAAAGTTCTATAAGGTATGGATCCTAACCCATATATATGATACCTCATTTATTATGGGTTTCTTTTTTAATAATTTTTGTCACACTTGGTGTGGATAATATAGCTTATTATGTTGCTTTCAAGATAGGGTTTTGCCGGATGCTTTATGTTTGTTCCACACATGAGTTTATCGGAATCTTTGTCATGATGATGAATTACTATTTGAAAGGGTTCCCTTACTATAATTATTTGCGATCATCATTCATCATAGATATATGCAATTTTCTGATAATAATAATAAAAATTTTGTTAGAGAAAACGACCTTTTTACTATAAGGTGCCTCTTCCAAATCTATAACATTTTATATCTTGAAAACTACTTATTAATTAAGTTTATACATGTTCAAGTGAATCTCCTCACTTTCATACAATCCGAACGTGCTTAAGCGATATTATCTTGTATAAAATATTAAAGTTTTTATTACTATTTTTAATTGTCTAGGGCACGATGTTTATAAGATAGTATATGTTCATAAATTTTTAATCATCGATAACGTATACCCTACATATGTAACAACTTGCAGGGATGGACCTAGGTGGGGTGGGTTGGGACAATTGTACTTTTGAAAATTTAAAATTATCATATATTTTAATTTTTTTAATGTATTTTCTATTAAAAATTGTTTTTGCCTCCTAAAGTTTTATAAGTTCAAATTTACACTTAAACATAAAATTTCGCATCCGTTCGTGATTGTTTGAACTTGAGCCATCCAAAAAGAATAATAATTTTTTTATCATTGAAGCCGCTCAAGTGGAAGATTATAAAGTTTTGAAAAAAACAAATGTAAAAGGAAACACAAATCAATTTTGAAGCTGCAAAGTTTCCAAATTTACCAAGAGGACAAAGAAATGGGCATATGTTGATTGAAACTCGGTAATGGGAAAACAAGGTTAGGTGCTAGCTGCCATTGGGAATTAAGTTAAAGGATGTGAGAAGCAGTACAACCAGGTCTTGGTGGCTTTGTCTTCCCCCTTCATCTCTTTTTTGGAAAACAATTTTTCTTCGTTGGGAAACGGATTTGTGGGGTTGTCCTATATGCCTCAGTTCTTGCCTCTCTATCTCTATTTGACATTTGCTAGCTCCTACACAATTTTTTTAGCTCTAATTCATGTAGTGTTATTAAAAGAAGAGCAGTTAGAACTCATAAAGTGGTTACAGTGACTAACGAAAATGTTATTCTGTTTAGAGTTATTGGGTTTAAATAGTTATTTTTGTAGGATATATGTTGTCAATAATTAAGAAAATTTTTAAACAAATACTATATTATAATCTTCTTATACTATTTAAAAAAAGTAAGAGTAGTTAAACACACAGATTAACATACGATGGCCCAAATCTTAAAATCACTTTGATAGAAAATCATGCAATAATGAAAGAGATTAGCACGTTTCCATGTTCTCTTCTAGGGTTTTGTGAGCAAGACACCTCAAAATTCGATTTTTTTTTTTGGGTAGAAATCCATGGCATTGGGATTAAAGTTTGATGGTTGTATTTCTTTTTCTTTTTCTAATTTATCCAGATTCCACTTTTATGTGTATCAATCTTTTAAATTATTTATTTGGTCTTTAAATTTGTAAAGTTTTATTGATAAAATGATAAATTTATTTTTTGCCCCCTTAATTTGATAATATTACTCCTTTAAAATTGTTCTCGATTTCTCAAAATATTTACAATTCAATCTTGGCTCCACCGGAAAAAATATTATGACTTTGCCTGTTGAAGTGATAAATAACTTGTATACAAATCCAATAATCTTATGTTCGATCCTTGAATAATCGATTACGTTTAGCTTGAACGACATTATTGTCGGTACAAGAGAATGAGAGATAGAGAATGTTTAAGCCTTCAGTATCTTCTAATTTATAAGTGAAGAGGGATGTGGATAGTATAGACGATATATAAAAATATATTCCTAAACAAATGTATTTTCATTTCAACACTCTTGTTGAATAGAAAGGAAAAAAAAAGGCAATGATTAAAGGAATCATTAATATTTTTTCTTAAAAAAGATTTGTTTAAACAATGGCTTAGGGTAAGGGGGTCCATCCAAAATGTGATAATGTTCCCTATGTTCATCAAAGTCCTTGTTGGAAACTTAATGATGATCTATACATATAATCTGAAAATGGGCATGGCAAACATGTTTAATTAATTCAGCTCCACATAAATAATCGAATGATTAAGATGCGTTAACCAAATTACAAAGTGATGATGATTGATTACTTGCCATTTTGGATACCTTTTGATGGGGCAATAATATAGTTTTTCATTCATTCACGCATCTAAATAGATATATGTATTCTTCCAACTCAACATTAGCTTTATGAAATTTTATCTTACAAATTATTAAATGAAACGTTTATAAACACAGGTTGACAAAAATAATTTATTTTTTTTAAATTCTCTTTATATATACAGATAATAAATTTTGTTATTAGCGTATCAAATAATAATATAAAAGTGTGAATTAAAAGAAAGTTTAAAAATATAATATTAATTAATCTCACAGAAATTTGTAAATTAAAAAATGTATCATTTTTAAAATTTCATTAGTTGAAGCAAATTTCGAATATTGACCAACAAATTCTCCAAAGAAAGAAGGTTATTAAAGGCATAAAGTGCCCATAGATACATCCTTTGCACTGTAACACATTTTATTAACCGTATATAAGACTGTCGTACAGTAGAATTCCGGTTTATTAACCGTATATAAGACTGTCGTACAGTATAATTCCTCCCGGAATGTCTTCTTTAAAGATGCGAGCAAAAATATAAGGCTTTTAACCACGTGGTCATGCTTTCAATTCCCACAGACGGCGTCGTTGAGATGTTTCTCTTTTTTCCCTCCGTCTGCATTCTCGGCCAAGGCAAACTATTGATCATCAACAACTAATTATACCACTTAGAATTCATTCTATCAATACACTATATTTTTTATGGCACTCATTCTGTGTTAAAATATTTTTTGAATAATGAAACCTCTTTTGTCAAAACAATTCAAACAGCATACAATATACTACAAAATCTGTCAACATAAATCCTACAATACTCTACTTCTAAGCAACGGTGCCTGAATTTGCAAGTTCAAAATCTTGATTAAGTATCAGACTTTGGGAATACGACGAGAACAGCTTTTGGACCACCGGAATTCTGGTTGGTTAGTTCTCTTGATCGGTAAAATTGGGGCTCTCTAGTTCACCCATGCTTGCAGAAGCAAATGATTCACACGACTCTACCGAAGATAGGGAAGAAGCAGTATCATCAGAATCTGAGACGATGTCGTCGTGTAGAATAATGTGCTCATCATCGATTTCAGATGTGTCCGACCCAGATGCTCCCATTAGAAGCTTGTTTATTGCAGATTTTGCGGTTTCAACAAACCATTCGTCCACCGGGAGTGCACTAACACGATAAGGCAATTTTAGTTGCTAGAAGAAGAGTGAGGGGTCAAACCTCAAAATCGCACTAAATAGGATGGATAAGTACCTTTCAACGTCTCTGGCAGTAAAGGTTCTGATTGCACGAGCAGTAATGGCCGATGCGATCTGATGCACATGCCGAGATGGGTAGCCCGCAAATCGAGCTATTTCAACAGTGAAATGCATATCAAGAATTAACTGCAAAACAAAGTGCCAGCATTATAGCCATATCAATTTTAGAGCAAAATCAATTGCTATGAGGTCTAGACTCTAAGAACAAACAGATTAAAACCCTCAACAGATCAACAAGTAGTCGCTACAGAAAATTTATCATCCCGAGAATCGGTCTAAGAAAGTGTAGTGAAAAGGTTACAGACAAGCAAGAAGAAACAGAAGGCTGTCACGGAAAGAAAAATCGAACCTGCTGCAATCCAAGAGGCTGAAGTGGAATAGATTTATCCTCGAACACGCCCCAGAAATCCTGCTCATCAGACAACCACATTAGAACAGTCTCTGTGAGTCTTGCGAGCAAAATTTTTTGAAGCTTCTCTTTTCCAAGTAGAACATCTCCGGCCACAGTTGCTAACTGCTGTAGCTTAGCAAATAATGCCTACAACAATAAAACAAAAACTTAAAATTAGTAAAATATGATTTCGGTCGAGGAATGTGTAATATGTCGAAATCTCACATCAATTAATAATGGATAAGTCCTCACATGCCAATGTAGAAGAAAAAAGAATCAGCATAAAACGGAAGGCAAAAGAAACTCTTCCTCGTCAGCGAGATTACCTGAAATGGTAAAGAAGGCAGAGTGTCCCATTGTGAGTCTTCTCTATCTCCACCCAAATATATTTGTGCGTTTAACCGTGTTTTGCCTTCTCTTGAATAGATGAAACTCAAAACATACTGCCTGCAAAAATGATCTCTGAGCTTGTCAAAAGCGTACTGGAGCTGTCGCCTCCAATCTTTTAATTCTGTAGTTGTACTTGCATTAGGAACAATGTTTTCGTTTCCAGTTTCCTGGTTTTCACTCTTCGGACTCCAAATTTTAACCAACATACTTGGTAATAGTTCATCCATAATTGTAAATGCTATCCCCAGAATAGCTAGTTGCTCCGAATCAGTTTCGGCTCTAAATGGTATCGTCTCTTTCAGCTCCGTAAGACTGTCATCATCTGAAGGGCCAGGTAGGGCTCTAATTAGTGCATCCATATACTTGTCGAACAGCTGTGAAATTCTAGGTAGTACGTTTCCCCCGAAATGTGAAACAACCAGTGGCGTAAGCTGCTCCAAAATATCCTGTTGATGACATTGTAACTTCAGCATTGAATCACTCAACCATTTACAGTAGCAACAGAAAAATTATGCAAAGACACGAATCAAAAGACATTTCAAACATGAGCAAAGGACATACCGAAATAATATACAAAAATTTCATTCCATTATCCACTAGCACGCTATTTGAAGAAGTTGCAAAAGCCGACAAAGCAGACACAAAGTAGGACGACAGAGGCAGGTTCTCATCAACTTCCATCGAGTCAAAAACCGCCTTTCTAGCCCTTCTAAAGTTCAACTCTAGCACTTCCTCAATGTATGGACGCGAGAGCACCAAAAGCAACTTTGATAGTTTCAACCCTTGTGATTCCAGCATTAAGCAGTAGTGAAGACTATACTGAACACAAATGCTAGCCGCACGTAATGCTGCAATCGTTTCTGAAGGTGGTGCGTTGTCCTTCACCAACCGTACAAAAAATTCAATTTCCCACTCTGCCCACTGAACAACTCTATTGGTATACACGGGATTGTCACCGAATATCAAACCGGATTCTCTCGTTGTCAATGAGATCATAGAAAAGACAAGCCTGGACAATGTGGCGGGAAACGTCTTTGGGCAGACTGAACATGAAGGAAGAAAAACCTCAATGTTTTTCTGCAGGCGGGAACCACGAGATTTCAGGAGTAATAGATGTGCTGAAGGACCTTTCCCGAGCTTAATTAAACCAGATAATGCCTTCTTTAGTTCATTGGCACTCACTGCAGGCAGTTCAGCAACCTCAGTAAGCTGATCTTCGAGCATCGCCTTCCTTTCTAGAAATAAAGACTTGAAGGAGGATGATTCAGTTGAAGAATCTCCAGCTTTTAGCTCGGATACATTTTTCTCTTCAGCCTCTAAGGCCTCCAGGGCTTCTTCAACTTTATGTTCAGCCAAAAGAACATCGATCTTCTCCAGGAATGCCTTCTCGTGATCATCCATTTCGTTTAGCAAAGGATCTTGACCTTCACCTACTTTAGGGTCTGGCGGTGTCTCGTTAGTGTCAGCATTTTGCCGGCTCCATTCTTCCAATTCACGACACGCCCCAGTCATTAGATCCTGCACGATAATCCCTTGAGAAGAGATATGCTTTCGCAGCTCAACCAGCTCATGCTCCATTTCAACTACTTCTTCAGACATTCTACAATCACCATTAAAATCAATCTTACTCATTTCAAATAAATAAAACAATAATTAGAAACTTTTCTGCCTCATTTTCTTTTATTTTACCTCAAGAAAGCCAAGTATTTTGTGCGTCTATTCCCACATAAGTTCTCCACAGCATCTTTCAAATCCAAAAGCTCACAACAAAGTTTTCTGATCCCCTGATTTGTCAAAATATTGAAATTAGGGCACTAAAAATAAGAAAAATTTTCTTTCCATTTTCATTTTTCCCAGTGTTATTCAACAAAACATATTATAATACAGTGACAAATCATCCATAGTTACAACACCATTAAATAAAAAAATGATTTTTATTCATAAACCCAAACAAAGAAATCCCATGGAAGATCTTTCTTCTTACTTCATGATAGAAAATAAAGACATAATTTCCCCTGAAATTTGACTGGAAATGGAACCAACCCAAATTCAAGTGAACAAGTCAACACTAAAAGAGACACATATAAAGAAAAGTTCAGGTAGATAAATGGGCAAGAAAGCATAAGAAAACCCATAACCTTGAACACAAGATCTAGAGTTTGAAATAAAAGAAAATCACTAAAACGAACTCCCTTTTTCTTAAAAAAGTTTCTGGGAAATGACCCACAAAAAGGGTTACCTTTTCAGTATGGGATTGGTGAACAGAATCAATCTTGGACTGTGGAGTGATGCTCTCAATAGATGGAAAGTCATCTTCTTCTTCACTGCTCTCCATCATCTGATCGATATATAAAGGGAAGTTATGATAGCTTGAATTGTTGGTTTTAACGAACAGGGCAAGGAGAGCGAGTTTGAGGAGTACTAGTATCAAGCAAGAAGAATCAGGTTAGATTTCGGAACTACAAAAGAGAACCTGTTAATATGTTGTTAGCTTTTGCTGCCACTTTCGAACATGTTTCTCGCCTTTGATTTTTTAGTATTCTATTTATTTCTGCTTAATATTTTCTAGGAAAAGGTACATTATAAAAATGGTCACTAATATTTAAGTAAAATTTTATTTTTTTCACTGTAGTTTCAAAACTAACAAATTAATCATTAATGTTATCTATCTATAATAAATCAGTCATCGCTCTCAACGGCTATTACGGGATGTGACAAAATGTTGATGTGGTGCGTTGACCCTGCCAACTAGATATCATTTTGTCATGTAAGATTGTCTGTTTGACTCCCTATACTGTTGATCGACTTTTTCATGTTGTAAAAAGTTTCAGCTTGCGACCGAGCAAGGTTATTTTACAGGCCGCGAGCAAGAGTTTTGTATCCGACTATGTGTGCAAAGATTAGTCCATCTCTCTTCAGTTATCGGGGTGTTTGATTGCACCGTCGGGCAAAAACCTAACAATGTCAAAAACTGGAGTGAGATTTTGAGAATGTTGCAACCTCTGACTAATGCTTCTGAACAAGGTGAAATAGCGGAGAATGGAACAAGAAACACTGTCTTCTACATCAATAAGTTTTTGGCCTTATATATAAATCATCAATGCTTAGATAATCCAAATTTCTTGGTCTTAGCTCTTCTTCTATTAATTACTGCATCTTCAGTTAATAAAATTATCAACCTTTTACAATCGAACAGGAAACCAAATATGCTTGCCCAACAATGTTCCCACCTGAAAGTGAAGTATTAGCGCATTAAAAATTCTCATTTTCTTCCATACAGGAAAAGCTTAATCCTATATTTAGCCGCTCGTGGGCTTAATTTACTTTATAAACCATTTTATTTTACTGCAATTGAGATTTGATATGCCATTAGCTTAATCAATTTTTAAGAAACGAAAAAGGTTTAATCAAACTTATACAGTAATTGGAAAACGGCCATTGATTAAGCACTTTAACAGCTCAAATCTCTTTATATATATATATATATATCCTTCTTCTTTTTTGGCATTGTTCTCTACTTCTTCTGTTTTTCGTTTCCTGTTCGATTATAGAAGGTTGATGATTTTATCAACTGAAGACGCAGTAACGGAAGAAGAGCGAAAACGATGAAACCCAGAATGCCTAGACTCTGATGATTTATTAATAGGTCAAAAGCCCATTGTTAGAGCAGCTAGGGTGTTTCGTGTTTCATTCTCTGCTCTTTCACCCTCATGAAGTCGATCACTCTCTGTCGATAATCACACTGAGAGAAGTCGGGGTTGGAGTTGTTTAGAAGCATTGGCTAGAATCTGCAACATTCTCAAAATCTCATTCCGGTCTTCCACGTAGTATTTCGTCTTGCTAAATTTCTGCTCGACTGTGTAAACAAACACCCCGGTAACTGAAGGAGATGGAAACCAGTCTTTGCATGCATGGTCAGAGACCCTTGCTCACAGCTTGCAAAATAATTGCTCGGCCGTAAGCCACAGCTTTTTATAACATGAAAACGTGGGTCAACAGTATAGGGAGTCGAATAAACGATCTTACATGGCAAAATGATACTAAGTTAGCAGGGTTAAGGTGTCATGTTAGTATTCATGACTCTCGTAAAGGTGGTTAATAATAATTGATCGATTTATTATAAATTGATAATGACAGTAGTGGAGTGTAAAATATTTTATCTTCAAATTAAATATTATTAAATTATTAGAGATGATTATTATTTCTAGAGTGTTATATTCGAGTACAACATCTGCATAAATATCTGAACATTTATTATCAAATGATTGAGAATTTATTGTTAAAAATATAAATCTAAGTTATTTAGATATTCTTTAACAATACATAACATGTTTAAAAAAAATTAAAAATTTTATTTTAAAAATATTTAAAATTATTATTATTTAAAAAATCCAAAATATTTTTAAAATCTCAAAAAAAGTCCCAAATCCTTAATCCTAAAGTATCCACCCCACCTGTCGGTCGTCCACCATTATTGCCACCCTCACCGGTTGCCTACCCACTCGTCATCACCTACCAACTCATCTAAAACCCAAATTCCTAAATCTTAACACACAACCATCCCAATTGGTAAGTAGGTGTTCAGTGGACTAATGGCCTGCAAGTGAGTTAGTGATAATTGGTGGTGGTAGTGATCAATGTCGAAATCGAATGTCTTGGGATATTTTATGAAAAATAGGAAAAATCAATTTTTTTAAAAAAATATGAATTTTATATTTTTAAAAGCTAAAGGAAATAAAAAATCATGTCATGTATCAAATGCTGATTGATTAATTGATTTTTAACAGATTTTTTAACGGGTATTACAGTGTAGGCACCTAAATAATAATTTTAGAAACGTTACACTTAGATTGACCGGAAAAAAATTAAACTCCTAAATAGGAAAAAAAGTATAATTTAAAGACTTATTTGATATCAAGCCGTTTTATTAATATAAATATATTATATGAATTGGTATTAGAAATCATTAATAAAATATAAAATAAAACTTTTTAATTTTTAATTTGAAAGTAAACGAAAGAAAGAAAAATATGAAACCTTTTTTCCATTAAACAAATAAGATTTAGAACAATTAATTGAAATAAACAGGTGCCAATATTTATTGTTTTAGATGAAGAGGCAGGGATATGGGCACGCGGCAAGGGATTACAACTAATTGTATCAATAAATAAATACAAATTAGTAATATAGCAAAGCTGCCATATTATGTGATCGAGGGTTTGATTTAGGTGGTTGAAATGTATTGTTTCATTTTTTTTTCTCTTCCGACTCAGAGGAGAGATATTATTCGTACAATAAAGGTAGATAAGAAGGCTTTTATCGTCGCCGTCTTAGCTCAGCCGGTAGAGTGCGTGACTTTTAATCCACAGACATCCTGATGTTAATTTTGTTTTTCATTTTCCTCTACTGTCACTGCCAACGCATAATATGATTCATGGTCGTCTAGTTATACCGCTTGGAATTCATTTATAATTTTTATCTGTATAAATAAAAGGAGATAAAGCACATGTAGAAGATAAGCCAGTAAGCAGTCGTTGCGACAGCTATGTGAAAGCAAGCCAATGCAGAGCAATAGTAATCTGAGCAGGCGGCTGATGGAACGTTAAAGGGAGGGAGGTACCACGCTAGCTTGGTCATGCTATCCACCACTCTACTACACTCCAATAAACGTTACCTGGACTATGATAATTGGTGACACGATTGGAACGGAGATGGGCTAAAATGCAATGCCATGTTGAAAGAACTTTTTAATTTGACAGCTTTCTCTATTCAATGAGCCTGCTGGAAGGTTTGTGTCTGTTGCTTTTCTTATTAGAATCCACGAGTCCGTTATTTTTCCCAAGAATATCATGAGGATAATTGCTCAACTTTCGAATTTCGATTGTGCTCAGGTTTCTAGTCCCTGTTCTAGAATAATCTTTCTTTGCGACTTTGGGAACACCAGGACCAAAATCCAAACAACAATTTGGTCACACAGCATGAACATCAAGCTCATCGTTCCACCAATACTGATACCCTTGAGCTTCAACATTGTTCTTTCTGTTTGACATGCAAAAAAATTAAAATTATTTTTCACAAGTTTACAAGCACTCGTATCTACTAGTCTTATACAATATAAGAATTAGACAGGCAATAGAAAGCAAACAAGCTTTTACTTTAAATCATACAAGCAGACAAGCACCAAGGGACACAGCTAATAACCATTGCTATCCCAGAAAATCTAATGCCTATAATAATGTTAACTAGTTTGGTTGGAATGAGGTTTTTAATAATTAGTATATTTATTTGGGTTATGGTAAGATTATAATGGATTTGGGTTTTGGATTTTGGATGGGCTTAGGGTTTGAATAATGAATGTTGTTATTTGAGTTTGAGGAATATTGTAAATTTGTATGGATTTAGGTCCGAAACAACAATTTATTTAAAAAAAAATAACATAAATGCAATATATTTAGGCTTATAAGTTAATTCAACTATTGATGTAAAAGTCAAGAATTATTTGACTAATCTAGGGTAAGTATAAGGCAACAACTGTTTATAGATTATTTTTCACTATTCCACATTGAACTCTCACACTTTTAGAATTCTCGGTAGTCAAACTCAGGATCTCAAGGAATAACAACAATTCTTTTACTACTGAGTTTGTTTGTTTCGTACAAAGTTGGTAATACATCAACCTGTTATCAACTTAATTTTAAATCAGTTTGAACCAAATATTATTCACCTTAATATATATATATATATTAAGTAAACATAAAAAGTATTAATATAAAAAAAACTTTAATCCTTGGTGTGGGCAACCTCAATAAAAGTAGTTATAAAACTTTAATCTTAGTGGAAGGGGATGTATAAGAAAAGACAACCTAATATAAGGCTAAGAAAAGGGATATTAGAAATGTTAATATTTTTTTTAATATTTCGGTATAGCGCTACTTAAAATGTTATTTTTCTACCGGAAATATTAATATCAAGCGCTACCTAAAATGTTATTTTTTCTACCGAAAATGTTATTTTTTCTACCGAAAATGTTAATATTGGAAATATTAATTTTAGGTAGCGAAATTAATATTTCTGGTAGAAAAAATAACATTTAGGTAGCGCTCTACCGGAAATGTTAAAAAATATTAACATTTTCGGTAGCGTTTTTCCTTAGTCTTATATTAGGCAGCAGTACAACAGAACTACTCTTAGTGGAACCGCCCACAATGGAGAAGGTTTCATTACCGATCAAAGGAAAGAAATGTGAAATAGTAGCTATGAGTTACCAATATAGCAGACAATGGAGTGGAACTTGATCATTTTCCTAGAAAAATAAAAGATATTATACAACTCTTGTGTGGAACCAACTAAGGCCTTATCAAGGGATATGATTCCAAATCACATCCCATAACACTTATTCATTGCTTGGATGGTTATTTTAAATGCATTTTCAACTAACTATAAGTTTTTTTCTCTTTTTTTAGGAATTCAAAATTCACAAATGTCGTCCGAAATT